TGGACTTGTGAGGATGCTAGAAAATATTGGACTAAAATCCACATGTGGCTGGAAAAAATGACAAAGAAGCATATAGACTTGAAACCGGAGTTTTTTCTATTGGGAATACTACCAGATACTTATAGTAAAGAGTTGAAATATTTGATTGTAAATGTATTGACTGCTGCTAGGATTGTATTTGCAAAAAATTGGAAAAATGAGAAAATTCCATTGCAAGAAGAAGTTGTAAAGAAAATTTTGGAATGTGCTGAGATGAGTAGATTGACTTTTGAAATTAGAGAGCAAGAAGATAAACAATTTTATTTAGTTTGGGATCTTTTCTATCAATGGTTGAATGATGAAATATTAAAATATAAAAGTTAGATAATAAGGAATAATAATGACTTTATTTTCCCTTTCCTTTTATTGGTTTTTGATACTATATTTATATAATAGCTTTCTTTGTTTCTTTCTTTTTTATATTTGGGATAGAATTGGTATGATTATAAGATTTGTTTTAGAATAAAATATTTAAAATATAGTTATCTCATAAAGGCATGACCGAATAAAAGTTTAGTCAAATTTTTTCTTTTTTTTCTTTAATAGAGATACTAGGATTTATAAATTTGTATTGATAAGAGTATTATATAAAGTAACTGTAATTGTGACTATGAGGTGAATGCACAAAACCGATGGACCAACCGACTTACGGTGTGTACAAAAATATGGGGGAGCTGATACTTTTATGCTTTGTTGTTGTGTTTTTTATGTTAAAAAAAATAATAAAAATTTATATATAAAAAAAAAAAAAACAAAGAGATGAACTGGCAGATTTATTGAAAATTCAAGTTACGAATAAGGTCAAATATCTGGGGATATATTTGACGTCAAGATGTACTACATTGAAAGAGAATAACTATATCAAACTTAAACAACAGATAGCATCTGATTTGAAAAAAAGGGGAAAATCTACAATTGTCATTGATAGGTAGAATATCAACAATCAAGATGAATATTTTACCCAGAATTTTACATTTATTCCAAACCATACCAATCAGGCTTGGTAAAGATTACTTTAAAGAATTAAATAAAATTGTGTTGAAGTTCATATGGCAAGGTAAGAAAGCCAGAATAAAATTAAAACTCCTGCAAGATGCTAGAATTAGAGGAGGTTTTGGCCTCCCGAATTGGGAGTTGTATTACCAAGCTGCAAATTTAATGTGGGTTAAGGATTGGATAACATTAAGAAAGACTAGATTGTTGACTCTAGAGGGGCATGATTTATTACTGGGATGGCATGCTTTTCTGTGGTATAAGGGAACCAAATCGCAGGGCTATTTTAGAAGGCATTATATAAGGGAGTCTTTATGGTTGAATTGGGAGAAAATTAAGAGAAAATGTTATTTGAAAATCCCAGTCTGGTTATCAACTATTGAAGCTTTTTCTTATCCTATAATATATGAGAAGGAACAAACAGTTAGATATGGGGAAATATTGGATGAAAAGAGTGAACTTAAAACAATGCAAAAACTAGAAGAACAAGGCATAAAGATGAATTGGTTTTCATATGCGCAAATACATTCAAGGTATCTTATAGATTCTAAAGCGGAGGGATTTTATGATAAATTGACTGATCTAGACAGGATCTTGACAGGTACTGATGAAAAAATGATTAAAAAATTATACACTTATTTGTTGGAAATTTTATTAGAGGAGGAACAAGTTAAAGAAACGATGATTGTTTGGGGGAAGAATTTTGGATATGGGATTGATTTGGAGAATTGGGAAAAATTGTGGTCTCAAAATTATAAAATGACAATGTCAACAGCTTATAAAGAAAACTTGTATAAGATGTTTTACAGGTGGCATTTTCCCCCGACAAGAATTGCAAGAATGTTTAAGAACAAATCTGAAAAATGTTGGAAATGTCATCAGATACCTGGCTCATACTACCATATGTGGTGGACTTGTGAGGACGCTAGAAAATATTGGACTAAAATTCGCATATGGTTGGAAAAAATGACAAAGACACATATAGACTTGAAACCAGAGATTTTTTTATTGGGAATCTTACCGGATATATATAATAAAAATTTGAAGTATTTGATTGTAAATATATTAACAGCGGCTAGGATTGTATTTGCTAAGAACTGGAAGAGTGAGAAAATTCCATCAGAAGAAGAAATTATTAAGAAAATATTGGATTGTGCTGAAATGAGCAAATTGACATTTGAAATCAGAGAACAAGAAGATAAACAATTTTATGAAGTTTGGGATCTTTTTTATCAATGGTTAGATAATAAAACATAATGATAGAATATTCAGATTTAGCATAAAAAAATTTTTTTTTCTTAATATTATCTTTATAAAACATTATTAAGGTAGATTTGGTATGATCTTATGATTTATTGCAAAATAAATTAAGCAAACTATAGTTATCTCGTTAAAATATGAATTAACAAAATTATAAATGATTTTTTTTTTTTTTAGTGATGATATTAGGTTATACAATTATTGATTGATAATATGAGCTATTATGTAATATAATTATACTGGTGACTAGGAAATGGATGCACAAAAAAAAGTGGTAAACCAATCGATGCACTGTATGTAAATTTATGAAGAAGGATCTTTTTATGTTTTTTGTGGTATGTTTATGTTTATTTTGTTATGTATGTTTATGTTTATCTTGTTATTAAAAAATAAAAAAAAATTATTTTAAAAAAATAAATAAATTACAAAGGTCCAGTTCATTCCATCACAGAGTATTTCCTCAAGGCTAACTATATTTATAATCCACAAGGTCAGTCTATTGGAGAAAAAGAAGGAAATTTTATTTAAGATCAGCAGTTATATCCTTGTCATCTGTCAGTATTTGTAATTCATAATAATATTTATAATCCAAAAGGCCCACTAAATTCCCCAGTGCCTCAATATCAAAGTATCCAGCCAACCAAAAATCCATTTCACTTAGTCTCAAAACAATTTCAAGCTGTTCCACTCTATCAATAGTATTTGTATTTGTAATCCACAAAAGTTCAAGGAGTTGGATTTTCCATAGACTCGCTATCTGTCACCCAACAACAAGCAAAATAAGTTTACAGCTGTCCTCTTATCAGTACTCAGTCTGTTGTTATTTTATGTCTTCTTGCTTTTATAGTCTCTGTATTTTTCAATTTATTAACTGGTGTAGTATCTTTTCTGGTCAGTAGGTGTCGCCCTACCTCTTTCTTTTCTCACTTATACAATAAAGTTCAAAAGTTTTCATTGTTTTCATCAAAAGGTTACTCTAATATTCCAGATAGAAAAAAAGAAAACAGTTTCTTAAGCTATTTTCACAATGTTGTAATGTGAAATGTCCAGTCCAGTCTGACAGTATCTCTAATATGATGATAAAAGATAAAGCAAAGAATAGAAATCCATGTCTTGTTCTTTGACTGATCTAAAAATCTGCAGAAGTTGCTCAATTGGTCATAATCTTTGATATATACTTTTAACCCAAGCTTGAAATTCTTTCCTGATATTCATTTTATTTAGTTCTGCCAATATGAATTATCATTGTAAATTATCAAAGGCTTTTTTGCATCTAAGAAGATAAGTGCAGATTTCTTATTTCTATTTATATGTTTGGTTGCATTATGAACGTAATGTTGTCTTTTATATTTTTCTTTGGAATTAAACAGTTTGGTCAGTGTGCATATGCAAATAAGCACACTACTTCAGTCTATCAGCTAATAAATATATACATTCAACAAAGAAATTGATCTTTATGATTGCAGCTTCTTTCTCTACTTTCAGACTTGCATGATTATGTTACTATAACCTCATAATAATAAAGGTAGTGTTGGTATTCATGGTTTGTCCATCTTGCCTTGTTTTCCTCAAAGGGAAAACTGAAAAGACTGAATTATTTCTAAGTCTAAGTATTTCTTCCCCACTTTTACTTTTTAGGAACCTCAGGAGGATCCCTTTCTGTTTATGTGGGTCAAGTTACCTTTACATGATGGATGTTGAGGCCATGACTCTTCTCTATGTTTCCCAAGGTCATTCCTATATACTGATACATCATATCCCTTCTTTTCTTTACTGGCTCCCAGAAGTCAGAAAGTTGACTCCTTCTGGGCACATAAAACTGCTGTGTTCTTTGAAGACTCGACTGCTCCCCACTACAGCTTTGATAAATGGTGTCCATTGAAGATAGGTCAATTTTTTTAAAAAAGAAACGTCATAAGAAAAGGATTCTAAGTCCTACACTGTTTTAGAAGCAAAACTTATTTATATTGTCTTTCTTTAAGCTTTTGCATTTTTCTCTTAGCTACCCAATGTAACAGACAATTTAATGCCTCTTTTGGGCAGGAGGCCCAATTTCCATCTGTCACTTGATCTTGTAATGGCTGGAAGTGATATCAGATGGTACAAGTGGAAGATACAAGTGGAAGGACTGAATATCACAGAGAGTACGTCAAGATATATATCATTGATTATTTTTTGTATTTGTGGATAAATGAAAAAGGAATGTCAGTGATGATATTAGAAATAGATTAGGGACATAAATGTACTTACTTTTTATTCAGATGATGGCCCGTTGTTGCCTGAGAGCCCAAATGATTTGAAGTGAAAGTTACATAGGCTGTGTGATAAAGCAAGGGTTCTAAAAACTGATAAAGTGCATAGCAGTTGTGTTAAAATAGTGAATGATTACAAACTGTATATAAATTTAAAAATGAGCAAATTAATTTATGTATATTAAAATTACTAAATGTGGAAAAGGGATAGAAAAAGTTTAATATGTGGAAAAGCTGGCAAAAAAGGTAGTGAGCATTTCTCTGTTGTGAGGAATGGACATTTGTCAAAAGCAAACATAGTACCAAAATACAGACATTATTTGTAGATGGAATAAATCTCATTCCAATCCTTTATGTGAAAATTATCATGTCACTTTTAGTGTTTAAAATCAACCCTTTATAAACAAAACAATATCACAGAAAGCAAAATGGACTCTTAACCAAGAAGGTACCAACCTTGACAGCTCGTTCATTTTTAATTTTTTCTACCTCAATTAAGTTCCGATCACAGAGCTCCCAGCAGTTGGGGGACAGGATAATTTCACTTGCTTTGGCTAAGTTTTGGGCCAACCGTACTTCTTCCACTGCTCGACCAGTTACCACAAAATGTTGTCGTCTGTTATCACCAATGACAACTTTTGAGATGTGACCTGCAGAGAGTCCTGAGAAAAGATTCAACTCTTTTAACAGAGATCCTAACTACAGCATACTGAAATAAAATGGGGGTGGGAGAGTTGAAAATGAAATAATTCCACAACCTATATGTACTTAGAAATACTTTAATTATTAATGAAATTTTATCTCTGCTGATAACATATAATGGGTTTTTGGACTAATCTTTGTGTCGTTTTTAAAATTACAGTTCAATTATTTTTTTACTTCTGACCCTAAGTGTTGATGAAAGTGAATACTAATTTGTATTGTAGCCATCTTGGCAACTTTCCTTTTGCTTCTGTTTCTCTCAGCGCAGGATGAAATTAACATACATTGTTTTGTAGCTTTTTTAAATAAAAAAATAGGCTCCAAATTTGTTCTAGACTGAGGGGAGTGGTACCTATTTTCACTCGTAGCTCAAGTCCCACTTCAGTATCACGAACACCATATTCTTGTTGGATGCTGAAACTACACTTCAGTGCCAGAGTAATAATCTCATTTAAATGGCACCGCTCTACCTTCCAGAGCGCCAACAGTGCATCACCTGGAAATAAGAGAATAAATCATTGAGCTTGTTCCATTTTCAAGAATGTATTTTCAGTAGTTTTACTGAATTATAAAAAGGAGCCTACTAGTATGACTGTTTATTCATGCAATAACATAATGATCTATACCCTACTGTGGTGTGCATTCTTGGTTACTAGTAATTATAAATTCCCTCTCCTCATAATATATCTAGTAGAAAATGGTTAGTCCTCCTTAGGGTTCATGCACTGAGTTATGAAGAAGTAGTTTGCAGGGCCATATTTACAAGAGATTATGTTGATTTTACTAATGCTTTGTTTGTACATTATTGTAATTCCAAACTTTGTGGGTTTTTAAAAATCTTATATTAACTTTCATAATTGTGTTGGCAATTTTAAGGTGTGTCAATTTGCTAGCTGGGGAATTCTACGAATTGAAATCCACATATCTTAAAGTTGCCATGTTTGAAACACTGATTTACTCTATATCAACAACTAAAGTCATTATTTAATAAAATAATTGCCATTGCTTGAAGCACCTATATTCTTGACTCTTTTTACTAAAAAGTGGTACCTTTAGTTGGGAATCCAAGATAATTCTGGACTCAGAAATGCAGTGGAAAGATGCAGAGACCCTTGCAAATTATGAAAATAATTCTTGCAGCAATTTCATAAGCATTTTTTAAACTATTGGTCTTCATGAAAACTGGGTATCCCTTATACAATTCAGGCCAATTCTTTACCTGTAATCTATACTATCTCTCAGCTATTGCTAAAACCATATAAATCCTGTCTGCCTTTCTATTATTATATATCAATACAACTGAGTGGATGATACTAGAAATTATAGTGAAGAAACAGTCTAAGATCACTTCCAGTGAAGATGGCCAACTGAATTCATACCCAGGGAGGGATTTCTCAAGGGTTTTTTCCTGGGCTGTAGCTCTTCAACTACTAACAGAAGGAACTGGCATTCTTTCAGTTTATATGACTCTCCTGGTTTAGGGAGAGTCTTAGAATTACCCTCAAGATCCTCCAATACAGCTGAGGTCTGCAAGTAATTTCAGGAGCTGCGCTTCAAAGCAACTGCGATGGCTGCAATCTGTTTGTCATTGAAGAAGCAGCTGTTTTGAAATTTACTTTCCAAATGGACAGTAAGTTGTGCCTTTCATTTCTTAATCACCTTTAAGGACTATTAATCTTTACTAAGTTAAAAGAGTGTCTCTTTAGTCACAGCTTGCTACTCCTTTTTGAAAACCTGCACCATTTGGGGGATTTCTTCAGTGGTAGACAAGGAAGAAGGCTGCTAAGGCTTCTAATAAGGAAGTGTGGAGGGAAAAAAAGCTGATGGAGAAATATAAAGGCAAAAAGTTGTGATTTTAGTTTATTATTTGTAGTAATTTGTAGCTTGGTTTTCTTTGCTGTGGGTGGCTAAAACTTTCTGATTTTTATGATTATAAACGGCTAGCAATTTTAAAGTGACATTTAAAAAAAACTATTCTTTGAGAGGTAGAGTTGATGTTGTGGCTTTCTGGTGTACTTTCCATAGGGCTCTATGGAAGTTTGCCAAATTCCTTCTGCCAGAGGGTTCTCAGGTACCTAAGCCGCCCTGGAGGAGTGATGAAGAAGAGAGGACACTCCAGGGGTGGGTTTCAGCCAGTTCACTCCAGTTCGGGTGAACCAAATGTTAATTTTACACCTGGTTCAGTGAACTGGTAGTTCTGATGATTGGCTGGCCCTGCTCCACCCCACCCTGCCCCTCCCAGGAGTCCCCACGCAGCCCATTTTGGATCCCAGCAGTGCAGGGGTCATGTGGAGCCCAAGGAGGTGGAAAACGGGACTCCCAGTGGCTCATGGAAGGTGAAAATGGGCCTATTTCTGGCCTCCGGAGAGCCTCCGGAGCCCGAGGAGGTGGAAAAAAGTCCCTCCACAGTCCATTTTCACTCCCAGGATAGTGCAGAAGGCTGACTAGGCCATGTCCCCCCAGTAACTGGACAGAGAACCAGTTGTTAAATTATTTGAAGCCCACCACTGGGACTCTACATTAATCACAAGGATATTGCAAAGTCCTTGTTTGATCCAGAGAAAAGCTCTCAATCTGGCAGGGAAAAAAAAGAAGGCGATTGTGTGACTGACCAAGACTGTGACAGCCCGACCAGAGGAGAATAAGTGAAGTTTGAAGAGGAACAGTGTGGCAACTGGATGAGAATTTCCCAACTTCTGTTGAGGAATTTGCCCCTTTTAAAACTGGTTTGAGTGACACTGGAACTGTAAAAGAAGAGGGTGGATTTGTCTATCTTCCACTCCCTGAGAATAGAGGTGAATGAGCACAAAGCTGAAATAGATCCAAATAAGAAATTTGAATTATTTGAATTATTTAGTGTTAAATAAGTGTTAAAAGAGGAAAATTGGACTGGTTATTCTAAGGACAATATTAATTGGATTTTATTGAACTAAGACTTTTTTTCAAATATAAATCTTGGATTCTGGAACCCCTAAAAGAAAAAGATTTGGCTTATGTTAAAGGACATTAAAGGAGAGGAATAAAAGAGAAATAGAGCAACAGTGACACCTCTGGCTGGAAAAAAAAACTGTTATAGTGAAAGTGAAGAAAAGAGATTAACAATTGACCATGGGCAGTTTATTGAAAGAACATTGTTACAAGAGTCAGATAAATTGCCTGCACCTGGAAACTATTTACAGAGAGAACTGCAGAGAAAGAGAGTGGAAACATGTAAGTTTTAAACACTGTAACTCTTTGACTGGATATGGATTTTATAATAGAAGTTGTTTATAAAGCGGAGTGGAGACTTTTATCCTTCTGCTCTTTTTGGTGATTCATAATTTGTTTGATACAACATATTATGGGGTTGGGCCTTTGTGGATTACAATTTATCAAAAAGAAAACAACCTTTTTGAAGAGAATTTTGGACTACAGGTATCTTGGCTTTGTGAAATACAACAGCTAAAAGATTGAAGTGACTTGAGGTCTGAACACAAGAACTGGGAATAAGAAAGGAAATTGTTGGACTACTTCAGGTGTATTCTTTAAGTTGGGCATTGTGGAGTATTGTACTGTTTGATTTATTATTGATTGCTTGATTATTAATTGGTTGCCTTTGTCAAATAATTATTACTTAAAATATTCTATTACTTAAAATTATTAAAATGACAAGCAATACAAACTTAAGTAAAACAGGGAGAAAAAAAATGCATCATCTGTAGCAGCAGTAGTAGCATTGAGCCCAGTGAATCAATGCTGCAGAATGTTGCAGAACAAAAGTTAAATATTTTTCAATCAGAGATGAAAACCATGTTCCAATTACTACAAGAAGTCATGACTAAGAATCATGATGATTTGGCAGATAGGATGCAAAAGATGGAACAAAAGATGGTGGATAAAATAGACAACATCCAGCAAATAATCACTAAAAATGAACAACGGATTCAGAAAATGGAAGAGAAAACAGAACACAGATAAGAAAGTAGAAGACATCGATTACAGATTGACTAAGAAGGAGCTTGAGCAATCTATAATTATGCTGGAGATGGATAGAGCAGAATACTTTCTGATATTTCAGAATATTGAGGAGGAAAAAGGAGAAGATCTTGCTGAAAAAATGGCAGAATTGTTGGCAGATGTGTTGGAAAAGAGTAAACAGGAAGTCATCTCTGGGATTGATGAAATATTTAGAATATATACAAGCTATGCAAGAAGGAACAAACTTCCCAGAGGGGTACATGTGAGATTTTCAAAGAAGGGAATAAGAGAAGAAATACTTCAAAGAGCAAGAGACATACCATTGAAATACAAAGGGAGACAAACAGCAGTTCTGACACAAATACCCAGAAGAGTAAGAGATAAAAGGTAACAGTATCAATTTCTGACAAGACAACTAATAAAACATAATGTAAACTTTAGATGGCTAATACTGAGGGAATATTGGTGACTTGGATGGGAAAAAAGACATAAATTAGATACAATAGACAAAGCAGAACAATTCTATTATCAGCACTTTACAGCATTTGAGGAAGAAGAGAGAAGGGGGGGAATAGAGTGCAAAAACCAAGAGGAATTATTAGTAGAGGGAAGCATTCAACAAGAAGAAATTGAAACAGAGCAAAAAGAGAGAAGGGAATGAGAAGGAGCAAAACAGAAAGAACAGAGAGAAATAAGATCAACTAGAACAACAAAACCTAACCATAAGTAAACAATGGAAGAAGAAACAAAACTATTATCAATCAACATAAATGGATTGAACTCATCTATGAAAAGAAAAAGGATTTTTTAATAAATTAGAAAAATTAAAACTAGATTTAATCAGTCTCTAAGAGTTCACATTAAAAATCAATATAGTAAACTATTAGAGTACCCCAAAATTGGGAACCTATTTTTTTCACCTGCATAGCAAAAGAAAAGGGTGGTGGTGGTTCTATACATTAAAGAAACAATGAAGGCTGGACAAATCTTTGCAGATGAAGAAAAGAGAATATTGATGGTGGAGATAATGAATCAAAAACAGATGTTGTTGATAGCAATATATGCACCTAATAATAAACAAGATGAGCTTTATGGAAAACTTCATAAGAAAATTATAGAATTGAAATATGAAAATATTTGTGTGGTAAGAAACTTTAATGCAATTGTAGATACAGAACTTGACTATAAGAGTAGTAAAACAGGCAACAGGGTTAGGAAAACACTCCCTAAAATCTTTTTTTAAATGATGGAAGAAATAGGAACTCAAAATGTATGGAGAGAAATACACTCCAAGAAAAATCAGTACTCATTCTAGTCAGATAGGCATAAATCATGGTCTAGAAAGATATGTCATAGAACCCAATGTTTAGGCAGATCACAATTCATTAAAAGTTGTATGGAAAGGACAAAAAGGAAAACTGAGATGGACATTGAACCAAGTGATATTGCAAGATAAAGAATTTATACAAAATATGGAAGAAGAACTGGACTTTTTTTTCAAAGAGAACAGGAAAGAAGAGACTTTCTTGCAAACTGTAT